CGTACTCTCTCTTCTTCTTCTTCTTCTTCTCTCTCTCTCTCTCTCTCTCTCTCTCTCTCTCTCTCTCTCTCTCTCTCTCTCTCTCTTTCTCTTTCGAAAGTAAAGAACGGATAAAGAAAAACCGGAAACATGAATATTCGTTATTATTCTCCTTCAATTTTTTTCTTTTTACACTTTATTGTCCGTCTTATTTGCTCGAGTTTCGTATGAAAATTTTTTTTGATGAAAGGATAACACTGTCCTTTGATGTTCCTGGGCTTAACTTAAAGCGGATGAATCCGGCAGAAAGAAGGGTTGAAGTTTAAAGTTGGTTGTGCTCGGTGATACAGTTTCCGCGCAACCTTGCATCCGAGTTGGAAACAAAATTCCTTAATTACTTAAGCGAACCTCCCGCTGATTTGGTGCGGAGTCACGAAGGTCGCAGCTGGATAACTTGCCACGTTTATTTCCCTATCAATATCGATTCGTCCAGGATAAACCGTTTTAATGGCGCCTCTTACGTAAGGGAATTTAGAATCTGTTAGAAGAATTTTCTTTTTTTTTTTTACCGTAAATTGGACGATAAAAGGATGAATGTCTTCTTTGATGGTTCGAGAAAATGATCGAAACGTTGGAACAAGAAGAATTTAAAGATTGCCTTTCTAAGAATAGAACAATTTTACAAATACTTTTAATTTTTTCTTTCTAATCTCTAAATAAATTGTAATTCATTAATTAAGACTCTATTAGACTCTATTAGACGCTAGCTATTGTGAAAGAATAGTCTTGTCGAATTAATTTCTCTGAATAAATGATCTTTTTAAATAAAAATTGTTTAGTTTAGTTTAAATTCATTTAATCTTTCTTTTCAATATTTCATTTTCTGTATTTTTAATATAAAAAAAGATGAAAGATTTTCAGCGAGAAATATATAAATATATTCTTGTTCTTTAATTTAAGATCTGGAAAAGAAATTTCTATTATTCAACTTTCTGATATTTTTTTTGATTCTCGAAAGAAATTTGCAAATTTCTATTTCCGTGCATTAGAAAGTTATTATATTTATTCTCGTTTTCAGTTTCAAATTTTGTTATTCTCCTATCATAATACATTACGATACACGACATCACATACATCTTGCGAAATTCTATTCAACTCTGTGCAACTTCTGTGCAATGAAGAATGGGGAAACGTATATAAAGGTGTGCGTAACTTTTTCATTGAAAGGAACTTTCCAAATTATATCACTCTTTAACTGGAAAATATAAAGGCCATTTATTCGATCGACGACATTTGGAAAATGATCAAACAAATTTAACTTTGAATTTAAATTCGAATACTTTCGCCTTTTTGAAAAGAGCAATCAATGAAATCAGCATCAGGTGGTATTCTGCTTTCTCGTAAAATGTTTTATTAAAAAATTTCATCGATCATCGAGTATTTTTAGTTTTTTTTTTTCAAAAAATATATCATAGGTGAAAATTTGAAAAAAAAAATATTACGTTAAAATTTAGACGAGAAAAAACGTTGGTTCACGATAATAAAATAAAATAAAATATACCATCAAAAATTTTATGTCGCTACAAACGAATATTTTTTTCAAAAAAATTGAAAAACATTTGTTAAAAAAAAAGTATTTCTTCTATTATTTTGTAAAAATCTGTAATTAGAGAATTGTAGAATAAATTAGTATTGATAATTCTAACTTAATTTTAAATTTACAAAATTACAAAAAATTAATACAAGTTTATAAATTACATAACAATAGAAATTAAAATTAAAAAAATATATTTTGAACTTGTAAGAATTCACATTTTTATGAACGTTGTTGAAGAAATAACGTATATTTATTTTTTTTTTTTACATTTTGAAACATATTTTGTGTGTTTTATGTTCTTTTATAGATAAAAATTCAACGATCCAACGATTATAGATTCTACTATTCACATTACAAAATTATAAAATTTATTGTTTAATTGACAGTTATATTGAATTATTTCATAGGAAAGAAAAATTGTTTTGTAATTTTCCATATTCTGAAGTGAAAAAATTTCCATATCACGCAAACGTTAAAAAATTCTCCTCTGGCTTAATTTTTTTAACCAAATATCACATAATGTATTTCCCGTATTTTCACTGGTAAATTCAGCATCCACGTTTCTCCGAAGAGAAAACCCGATAAATACCCCGTACATCCTCGCGAATAGAACTAAAGAGGATTAATTCATCTGCGTAAAATAAACAGAAATAAAAGACACAAAAGGAAATATCGAATAACATTGAATTATTTTACTGGGAGAGAGCAGAGAGTTGGTGAGGCCGATCGGGTCAGAAATCGATATTTACCCTAATTGTTGCCTGTTCTGCTGTCTTTCCTGACCAAAGTCACCCTCCTCGCACCTGTGCGCGGATGTTCTTTAACAATTGCCACCAACGTGGACCGAGAGATCAATGCTCGAGGTCAGGAAACATCTCGATGGAAAAACCAATCGTTATCAAAAGTATCCTTTTCCACCTCGAATGAAATGCGACCACGATTCATCGCGTGCGACACCACGAAGAATGTAATTCATGATTAATCGATTACTCAAACGGGTTAATTATCCTCGAAGAATTTACAATGCTGCTTTTCCTTCGATACGATACGATATTCAAGAATTAATTATCGATCAATTAAGTCGTCTAAATATTTTTACGTTTCAAATAAGGAGAGTAAGTTGGGCGTGTGTAATAGGATCGGTATAAATAACGTAATTGACGACTAATCGATTAATTGGATAGTCTAATTAGTACTAAAAAATTCACAATGCTGCTTTTTCTTCGATCGAGGAGACTTTACGATATACTTTAAAAATATTCTTACGTTTTTAATATAGATATACCTAAGAATTTTATTAGTTAGTCGGGTACTTTAATACGTATTTAAATATACTGTTTTTCATCTTTACAAAATGAAGAAACAACTTTGACGAGTTTCGAACAAAAATTAATTCTGTCCACGATGCTCGAACGAAAGTGAAATATCAATATGAATGTAACTCGATTGCAAATTTCGTTCTTCGATTGCGTATTTCGTGGACAAAGTAACGTCGCGTTCCTTTGACCCGACCTCTCTACAGCACATGAGATTACAATTAATTCAACGCATCGAGCGTGGCCGAATAAAATGTCCAAGCGTTACATTCGACAATTATAAAAACGAATTGTTGTATCGAATCGAACATAACTATCGATTCGTCGTTCAGTAACCTTCCATTGTTCGTTCGACCCTCTGTCAAAAGTTTACCCTCAACTTTCATCCAAACGATAGAAATATCACGTTCTATTAAAACTTCGGTCGAAAATAACTCACACACTTGATCAAAAAAAAAATATCATCACTCGACGAAGAAAATGCTTGGAAGATCTTTTCAATTCGAATTTCTAAAAAATAAAAGAAGAAAAAGAAAAAAATATATAAAGAATCAACCAAAATTTAGAAAATTCCGAGGTCAGATCAAAGGAGTTCGCCCGACAAATCGTCCACTTGTACTACTTCTCCCGCAAACTTCCGATCGAAACTCGTTCAATCTCGAATCCCTATTGAACACCGGCAAACAAATAAATTACTCTACTACGACAAAACGATTTACCGGGTCAGCTGGGCTCGAATATCAACCGGTGGAACTGGATCTCCTTCTATCGAGCGGGAAACACGTCCTCCTCCTTTTTTCCTCCTTCTCCTCCTCCTCCTCTTGTTCCTCGTGTTCCTCGAGATATCGTTTCGTTCACCACGTAGTATATGCGTACATTTTATCCTATCCTATCCGATCCTGCCGCCACTCTGGAAACGTTGAGCGTCCGTTTTCAAAACAGGCTCCTGTTGGAGGAGACCAGCCTAGGTCGTCGACTGTGCTGTGGCCTGGCTCCGACTAAACTACTCTCGACCGTGTATGCGCTCCCTGCGCCAGGGTTCGTATGCCAGAAAACGGCGATTCGTGGATCGTAGCTAGAGCCAGAGGGTGGTGGTCGGGTTGTCCCGTTGGTAGGGTGAACGTGGAGTTGCTCATTGACGAGCGGGACAGAGAGGGCGCATATAACGGGACGTTTGTGTGAGTGCTCTGCTTGCACGCGCGCGACAAAGCGAGCCCCACGAGGGGGACGAAGAAGGATGGAAAGCGGGGTATGCGTGCGCCGCAACAGGTTACTCTCCCCTTCGATACGCTCCTGGAATCCTCCTCGACCCTTTTTCCCTCTCCACTGCGCGTTTTCTTCCACCTTTTCTCCTCCTATCCCTAAACACCGTCCTTTTCTCTTACCAGTTGCTTCTTCCACTCTCTACCATTCCGGACTTTCGGAATTTCACCCTTAACGCCTCTTCCTCACCCCTTTCCCACCTGCGGTTCTCTCTCTTCCTCCGCCTCCCACCTCCGTTTCTTCATTCCGGATCGTGTGCAAGTCGTTCTCTATAGTCTAGTCTTTTCGTCTATTTATTCGTCCTGATATTCATTAATCTTCGGCTTAGTTGAAAATTATAATACATCGAAGAGTTTTCGAATTTAAATAATACTTAATGTATTATGTGTTCCTGTATTAGCGTATTAAAAGGAGAGGAAGATGATCGAAGATTAAATGTATAGAGTTTTGCTTATTGTGTGTTTATGAATATATTTTTTAACGTAGTCAATCTTTTGATCAAATTTTTCACTCGTTCGTTTTTATCTTCTTACTTTTCTCGACGAATATTTTCTTCTTCGCCTTTATCAATGTTTATCGCGGCCTGTGATCGAATCTGTTTGAATCGAATCGTAAATGCGAAATGTTGATCGTTTACAAGACAAGTTTAAACGAATCACTCTGTACGGCATCGAAACAACGATTAATCTTTTTAACGTGTCGTTCGAGATAGTGTACATATGTCTTACGTATATATTAATGGAGTTCAATTAAGATGAACCTTGATGAAAGCTTTTTTTTTATCTTCTTTTAAATACAACAAAAGATCTTTGATGTGAAAGTATTGTTAAAAAAATGCGATTCATTCATCTTCCACGATTTATCATATCGATTATTAACATTCATCTTGTTCCACCTAAAGTTGAAAGTTTCGTAATTTATCACGTATTACTGCGCTCCCAATGTACATTTAATTATACTCTTATGTTTGTTAATTTATCATCGATATTTATTATTCCGAAAAATAAGGAAATTGAAGTCGTGCGGTAGAAAAATTATGCATTTTAAACGTTTTCATCCACGTGTATTTATAATTTCGCATGATATTGAACTCGAATAAGAAAAAAAATTATGTCTTTTAGCAATTACGATTCATTTATTTATAATATTGAATGTATTTATTCATATTCCTTTATTTTGTTATTCAATTTTGCATTTCAATATTTTATGTCAAAATTTAATAACATTAATAAATTTCCAATTACTTTACTAATTTTCTTGTAATAAAGTTTACAATATAATTTGATAAATCAAATATCGAATGTACAATTAATAAAAAATAAGCCACCTTCTCTTCAGCAGGGATATTCATGAAAAGAATAGTCTTACTTCGATTATTCTGAAATAATTAATTCCACAGTTTACACGAATGGAATTCCACGAAAAGAATGACTCGCAAACCTTTCTGTCGATCGATCAATTTCCATTCTTCTTCATATTTCCAATTTCCTCTTTTTGAAGAATCAACAACCAAAGTACGCACCACATATCTCGATACGAATATATAACTTTTTCTATTTTTTTTTTTTAATCTCAACCCTCGATAACAAAATTAATTTTTTATCATCAAGATGCCCAAGGTCATCGAGTAAAATGCAGAGGTTTAAGATCGTGTCTTTTCGCTTACAACGAAAGAGATAAAGTTATCAAATCTCGGGGGAAATTACAAAATATCAAGCGACTAGAAAATTTGAGACCACCACTTATCGTCGAGAACGATGAGTTTAAACGATTTTTCAAGCAAACCGGAAACTGTGAACCGTGTCGCAATGTTCCGCTCGAACGAGAATTTTGTTGATTCACAGCCAACAGTGAGGGGAACTCTCGTTATTTCTCGTAATTTTATAATCGGCTCCCTTCCTTTTAACAAGAATTGTTATTACTTAAAATGTTATCCCGTTTTATATCACGAGGTTTTCCACTGGATTTATGATTCAACGATTAAAAGATACGCGCAAAAAAATCTGGTAATTTGAAAATTGTTGATTTCAATGGCACGTGCCCGGTCTGAGAGAAATTCTAATTAGTATGAAGTGGGATTTCATATATGTAATAAATCTGTTTAAAATATTATTTAACGTTCTATTAAATAAATGTTTATTGGGCGTCAACTTGAAACTTGAAGTTAATTGAATGATATTTATCATTTCAATTTTTATGAAGAAATAAAACTGTGTGTGTTATGATTATATGAAACGTATCTTTTTCATAAATTCAAGAAGAGATAAAAATTGCTGGTAAAAGAATAAAACGAACGAAGGATCTATCTCATCGGTGTTAAAAATTTAATGCAAATATAAATATCAAAAATATATCGAATCAATAATTCTCGATCATTGATAATAATCAATTACAAATTTTTATTAATTTTAATCTTGTTTCTCTGTATACAGAGAATTATATCGAATTAATTGAATTAAACTTTGATTAATATTGTTTTCAATAAAGTTATAAATGTCAATAATTTAATTAAGAACTCGATCATTCATAACAATCTAATAATTATTAATTAATAAGATCTTTTAATTCCTGGCTCTCTCGTGTGATTTTTCATTTTGTTTTAAACGTTAAAAAAATTTTCTTGGATAAAAGTGAAAATTCGTTTGGAAGTTTAATAATTTCAATTTCCTCTCTATTGTTTATCGACGATTAAAACTTTCTTTAATCGTATTAGCTTATTTGCTCTAACAATGAAATAATCGAAGATTGCAAATTTCTCAGTTACGAATATGTTAACAAGAGATTTATAGAAAAGTATTTTTATTCTACATCTTATGAATTTACAAATTTTAGATCTTGATCTTGTGACAGGATACTTTAATAATTCTTGGATCTTTCTACAATTTCCATGTATACTTTCTCGAGTACGCATTTTTCTTGACTTTTATCCTACCATTGATATATACACCTCGTTCTCTCTCTAATTTCAAGCATATATTCTTACTTTTTTATTTACATCCGAACCTCTTCCATAGCATTCTACATTCTTTCCATTTACGATTAAAATATAATAATAAAATTGTTTTATTCTTTTAATGTCGTTTTCAATATATTATATTCTGTATAAAGCTATTATTGTTCCAGAAATTGAGTTTTAATTTAGAAGCAATTTAAATGAAAAATAAAAAAAAAATTCGACGAAAGATTAAGTCTACTTTGAAATCGTATTTAATTCCTCTTTAAATTTGATTCATTTTTTACGTAACATATTAGCTTCCTATTATTCGAAATGATATTTTATAATCTTGAACAATAAATTTAAAAGGCAAGAATTTCAACGAAGAGGTAATTTTCTGCTATAGTTACTTTTATGCAAATAGTATCCCGTCTGACCATATATTGGCTCGTTTTCCTTACGCTTTAATGAAAAAAATTATAATTTATTTTTCGATACATATCGCATATTAAACAGACTTAATACTTCCTTTAGGCTAGATTAAAATATTTTCCATGTTGTAAAAATTAAAAAATTCGAATTTACGTAAAATCATATACTTCATATGATTTATAATGAATTAAAATTTTTCATAAAAAACTCAGAAAAAATTTTTTATATAAAATCTACAAGTTCCTGTGCAACGAACCAACAAATTTTTTTTCAGAATCATTATCAAACTTGCAAGATTAAAAAAATTTAAACCATTCTTCAGAACGAATTAAAAATAAAAATTGAAAAATGATCGTTCATCTAATAATCATTTCACGCGAATATCCCATGCCAAATTATTCCATAGAAATTTTGCACGTGGCAAACAACACGGCCACGTATCGAATGAATCATTCTGATGGGAGCAATTTTTCAATTCTTCTTCGATCTCCAAGGATTTCCTAAAATCTACCAAGATCTACCGAATGGAATTTCATTGCGACGACTTTTCACGTTTAACTGGATCACTCGCGACGTTTCCTCCATTTTCACCCCCTTGAATCGAAAGAATTTCTTCGATAAATCGAAACAAAAAAAGAAAAAAGAAAAGAAAAGAAAAGGAATTGCCAATTTCTCGTCGAATTGTTTCGATCTCAGACAGAACAATGTGTTTCATGCACAACCTGTGCATATTTACACATGTATCTCGATTCTCTCACGTCTCATTCCAACCAACATTTTTGCATTATAGATCATCGTATTGTGTTCATCTTGCTCCATCGGAATAGAATTCTAAACGAGAAACTTCCGTCTCTCGCCATGCCGTAATTTGTATTCAACTTTCCATCGATCGATGCCATAAGGAGAGGGAGAGAGAGGAGGGGGGGGAGAGAGAGAGAGAGAGAGAGAGAGAGAGAGAGAGAGAGAGAGAGAGAGAGAGAAGAAGAAGAA